AATAGTTTAGGAAAATACCATCAGGATTTGTTTACATCTACATTTAGGGATTTAAGTATGATTGTTCAAATCCTTTATTATACTTACGTTGCTTGCTCTTTGAAGCCACTTTTCCAATATTTCTATTGATCTCATTTTAAGGCTGGAACACTCAAGTCCCTCAGGAAAAGAGACAGCACACACTCAATTTCCATAGCAACTCTAAATCCATCACACTATATTTGTATATGAGAATTTGATTTAAATACATTAATATATGTGAATTTGCAATGTGTCTAAGCTGTGGTTGCTATAGGAACCGCAACTTCAAATTTCCTTTTAAGTTTTGTAAGTGCACACACTTAATGACTGGTCCCCCCCCCCCCCCCCGGGGCCCCTGCCAGCTATCTTGAGTTGCCAATAAGGCTCATTGCAATAAACTGATAAACAACATGATTCACAATGATATATGCACTTAAAAGATATCTATCATTATGAAAATGTGTATTTTAATACATGCTCCTTGTTGGTAGATCAAAAGCAATTCAAGATGTGATTCGTCAGAAGGTAGATCGAACAAGACTTGCCAATTAATTGTCACCCTGATGTGACAGCCTCTGCTTATGCTGCAGCTCATTTTAGACCAGGTAAGTCACCCAACTACAGAAAGACACCAGTGGGCTCTACGGCTGCTCTGAATCTGCAGGAGGACATTTTGTGTCTGTATTGAATTGGCAGAAAAATCTAGCACATTCTCGTAGCAGCAGAATGCGTCTATTTTACACAAAAGCAAACAACCCATGGTGCATGGCTACAGAAGTCATCTGTATGATGAAAACACTGTTGTTGGTTTTTTTTTTCCGATTTAGATAGTATTTAATTATCAACATGTGGATAATCCATTCCATGATCATATTTCCACTCTAATATGGGCCCTTTGCCACAAGATGCTCTGGAGCTTCTACTTACTGTTCTTAATGTGTTACATGCAACTTAATTTTAATATTAGCCTAAGGAAATATTGGGGAGAAAGAAATCCACTGTAAAACCAGTCAAGTATTCCAAAGCCAAAGGAAAAAATAAAGACGATCTCTTGCTTTGATTGTAACAGCCACTGCTTGTTTCCACTAATGCAGATGGTTGAGAAATGACAAGGCTTAGAGGTGGAACAAAAATTACTGCTGAATGTTACTGATATGGCATCACTGTCAGATCACTGTGATATAGATCTGAGAACTCCCAGAAAGCTGACGCTCACACCTCAGCATCAAGCACTTTGTCTTAAATTTTGGATGAACAAAATCAGTCTTGTATATAAAGAGGATGGCCTTGGATGGTTTCAGATCAGAGGCAGGGAGGCCACTTTAGAGACTGTAAGTAATTCATGGGGGAGAGGATTATCAATAGAAAATGAAACAGAATCTTAAGAATTAGAAGGAAACTCTGAGTGTATCAATTAATACAGGCTGGTGTCCTAGTGATACTGAAGGATACAGAGAGGCATGGACCTACCTGATTCCATAATAAAGCATTCAGGGTGTTCAGTAAGCTTTCTGAAGTCTTTTGGCTCTTCTTTTACTGATGTTTATCCTTTTTATTGCTATAAGTGTATTCCTTGCCTAAGTAAGTTATGTGCTGAGAAACCATATCCCCATGTTTATTATAATTACACATTTTGTATCACAGATTTTATAACACCTATTTTGACTCTTGGAAGACATTTTGGCTTCCATTTTCTTGGCTGTATTCCCAAGAGTTGGATATATGACCTCAACTTACTTTATAGGAGCCTTTCACCTATCACATACAACTTTTAAAACAATGTTCTACATGTGATGTATACCTTGCTATAATTTTTTCCGCAGTATAATTTTTCCATCCCACAATGTCCAAGAGACAGAACCTATTTTGTTTAAAAGGGTATGACTGGTTTGACTTTTGAAAATATCCTTTCTCCCTCATGAAAACCAATGAGGTGAACGTGGTCAAGGTATGAGGAACATGAGTCTTAAGAACTACTGCCTTGGGCAGCCCTGGTGGCGCAGCGGTTTGGCGCCGCCTGCAGCTCAGGGTGTGATCCTGGAGACCGGGATGGAGTCCCGCACTGGGCTCCCTGCATGGAGCCTGCTTCTCCCTCTGCCTGTGTCTCTGCCTCTCTCTGAATAAATAAATAAATCTTAAAAAAAAAAAAAAAAAAAAAAAAAGAACTACTGCCTTCTGGAACATTAAAAACCCTATTTATTACCTGTTGACTTTACCGTGTTTCCTGAGCTTTGTCACCCAAGAGTTTAGGCTCTGGAAGAAATATGTTTCTCGTTCAGGTTTATGGACATTCTATCAAAATAGCACACACTTCTCTGTGGCTTCTGTGAAAGACCAGTGGGGGAACTGCTAGAAAACAAAGCCAAGGCAGCACCATGGGCAGTGGTACCAATACAGGGACATGTTGTGATTGTGGGGGAAAAAAAAAACAAACTTCTGCGGCCTGTCTGATTTCACTACTAAAAAACTTGGGGAATAAAAAAAGAGTGGCAGCTGAGTTGAATCTGTACATCATTAACAGCTAAAGAAAAAGGCCCTAAGATGAGAAATGCCAGCTACCCTGGGTTTCCCTTCCCGTCCATGTCCTCCTCCCCTACCGCATCTGCCCACCAAATCCCCCCCATTGGACAAAACACACCACTCTTCTTTTCTCTCCCCCCACTGACTACACTGTCGAAGTTTCTGACCAAACTGGAAGGCCAATTTGAACTGCCGTACATTTTTGTTCCTCAAATTTCTTGTGGCTTTTTACCAACCTCTCCCCAGCACTTGTTAAAATAAAAATTCCCCTTCCTGTCTGAATGTTTATCAACACCCTTGACTTACTTCATTTTCTCCTTCCAGCTCAAAGGTCCTGCTCCACAAATCTCCCCTCCTTTTCCCTATCACCAATTATTTCTTCTCCACGGACCTTCCTCCCCTCTTACCAACTTGCTTACTGTGCCTTGTCCTAAAAGCAAACGACAACAGATCAAGAACAACACCAGCTCTTTCCAATCTCACCTCTTGAGGCTGTCAGCTTCTCCCCACAACAACCAAACAGTCTTCCTCAACTTGTTTCCTGATGAATTTGGTGAAGGTGGAATCTACACTTACTGCATGACCTAGCCATTTGTGAGGTCATGCCCTTGTCCAGTCTCTGCAGTCCAGCAGGTATGTGCACTCAGCATTTTAACAGACCAGTTCTCTCAAGGATCATTCCTCCCCTCCTAAGAGTCAGGTACCTTTGGCCTCTTTGCAGGCTTCATCCTATTTGATCTCTCCACAGTTAATTTCTGGCATTGCAGGTGATCCCTCTTTCTAGAAATTTCCTACTGTTCATTCTCTGATTCTGAGTTTTCCAAGTTTTTTTCCCAATGTTGATATCTTTTTTCTCAGCTTCCTCTTTTTCCTCTGCTCCTTAATGTATGTATTCCCAGAAATCTGTGTCACTTCGTTTCTTTTTTATAAGCTCATTCATTTTATAGCTTCAACACTGGATTTTTATGCTACCTTAAACTCTTCCTCCAATTCCTCTAACTCACCCTGGGTCCCATAGTTCCACTGGGTGACCCCTAAATTGGAAATCCAATGGGCTCTTTCAGTCCTCATTTTACCTGACTCCTCCACAGATTTAGACATGTTGGCTAGTCTGTTCCCTTCCTGATGTGCCATTCCCTCATTTCCTTTAATCTTTCTGGCATCTTCCCTGCTCAGGTGCAAATCCTTCCTTTTCTACCCAAACATTCAATGTTAGAGGCTCCCCTTTCAGCCTCAATGACATGGGTATACGGAAGCCTCACAAATGTACACCTCTAGCCTATGCAACATACTTCTTAGTATGTTTAGTATTAGTTTTGTTTTTTAAGTATTAGTATTCTTCTAACCACCTCTTATCCATCCTGATTGGAGGCTGGGGATAAATAAGGAATTTGTATTATTTACATATTAATGTTACTGATTTAACAAGTGTGAACACTGGTTTTTAGGATGGAACAAGTAGTTTCTGAGGATTTCATTGTTTAACTGTACAGTATCATAACTTGTGTTAATAATGACCTCAATTATCGGAGAAGGACAAACAGTGTATGTTCTCATTCATTTGGGGAATATGAATAATAGTGAAGGGGAATATAAGGGAAGGGAGAAGAAATGTGTGGGAGATATCAGAAAGGGACACAGAACATAAAGACTTCTAACTCTGGGAAATGAACTAGGGGTGGTGGAAGGGGAGGAGGGTGGGGGTGAATGGGTGACGGGCACGGAGGGGGACACTTGATGGGATGAGCACTGGGTGTTATTCTGTATGTTGGTAAATTGAACACCAATAAAAATTAATTTATATAAAAAAAATAATGACCTCAATTGCACAAGAACACCTACCTGCTTGATGAAGTCTATTTTTTATGGAAGGATGTTTATATTTTTGAAAGATTTTATCCACAAAAGTTTAAAGAACTTTAAAGTTCTAGGTATTCATCCCCTATGACTTCACTTTTGGAGCTGAATAAATGAGGTCTTGCTGAGTATTATCACATAAAAATTGGCACTGACCATACAGGAGACAAAATGCATATTTCATAACTTTTCTTTCAAAGATTATAGATTATTCATATTTAAAAACATAAATTGGTTCATATTCTGTTTCTATAGCCAGCAATTAAGCAGTAAAAATACTTCAGTTGAAATCTAAACAGACTTGATATTTTTCAGAAAAACATACCAAGAAAATGAAATCTATCCCTGGAGTATTATTTTAACACACAGCTTGAATGATCAAGGTGAGTAACTCTGCCTTTTTAGTAGTCTAATCATGATCATTAGACTTATTATAGATAAGACACTGCTGGGAAGATAACGTGGTCAGAGAGACAACAATAAAAACCATCCAGAGGCATAAAGAGACTGCTGGGAATAATCAACCAAACACAGGAAAGCACAGATGAACCTGAGCCATTTTCTAAAAGGAAAGAGAGTGTCCGATTTCACTGTTCTGATACCTGCGGTGGGGGAGTTTGCATGGTGAGACTTTTTCGGCAGGTTGAAGATCTGTTCGCCAGGGTCAGGGGGAGGGATTGCATCTTGCCCTTGCCGTGCTTCTACAGGATCATACTCTTTCCCGTCATAGTTAGCATCATAGAATTTCTTAAACCACTGAATGAAATCCAGGTTGTCCTGGAAACGTCCTTTCACCAGCTTCTCCACTGGGATCACCTGCAACATAAAATCTCTGTGAGTCATGACCCTGTTTGGGGGTATTTAACACAACTAAAGTGTTCTCTGTAACTATTTCCTATGCATCCACAATTACAGACTACTGGTTTCCCCCTCAGCTTCTTGACCAGCTATATTCTAGAATTCACCTTTTTCCCCCCATCATATTAAAGAAAAGTTAAACTAAAATGCTGTAGATGGTTCTTGTGATTTATTGCCTACTTCTGAACAAATGAGATGAAACAAGGAATACCCTTAGCTGTCAAGAGGGGCTGATCCTCTTCATGATGTATTTAATTACTCAAGCATCTCCCTGCAAAAATGGGCCTGGGATGTTGTGCTGTTTCAAGATTGATGGATTTTCCATATTTCTTTTTACCACTTGCTCCAGCGGTGTTGGAATAAACTCCTGTAAGGATTATAGCTACCAGAGAGTGTGAATGAATAAGACTCAAATCAATGCAAACATTTACTTATCTAATGGTTTGTATGAGGCTAAATGAACTTCCCTGTTTTCTGTTGTTGTTTTATTTTTACACAAGACAGAGAAACAAGCATTAAAAAGAACTGCCTGTAGGTTGCCTGGATGGCTCAATCAGTTAAGTGTCTGACTCTTGATTTTGGCTGGGTCACAATCTCAGGTCGTGAGGTGGAGCCTCTATGTTGGGCTCTGCACTCAGCAGTGAGTCTGCTTGAGATTCTCTCTCCCTCTGTCCCTCCTCACTTTTTCTCTCTGTCCCTAATAAGTCTTAAAAAAACAAAACAACTGCCTGCAATACAGAGCCCAGTAGTCCATGGGCTACACAGGAGCCCAGCTGATGTGCCATGGGAGAGCAGAGGGACAGATGGGGTCTGGTTAGGGAGGTCACTGAAGGCATTCTGGAAGACGAGGTACACCTAATTTACCTCCACTTCTGAGACAGATCTCAGCTTTTCATGGAGTAGGCCTTTCTACTGGCAACCCAGACAAGACGGCCAATAGGTATTCCCATTAGAGGCTGTACAGGAACTTTCAGAATTATGACAGGAAGAAATATGGGGTGACTGACTAGCTTTACTTCAGTGGGCAGCTATTTTTGAAGGAAAATGGAAAAAAGGACTTAGTTATGCAGACTGTGCCATTACCAGGTTCTGACTTCCTCATCTTTGGGAATCCTAGCTGAATGTAGGCCATGAGAGTTAGAAAGCTAAGGAGTGAATCTTATCACAAGTACACAATTCAGACACAAGCCTAGTGTTTAAAGCACACAGCTTCACTGTGTAATCGTATGAATGGAAGCCATATACATTAAATTTTCAGCAAGGCTTTGCCACTCAGGAACTAGAAACCACTGATATTCTAAAATGGATTCTCAGGATCACTTAAAAATAAAGATCTCAAATATCAATGACTACTTTAAGGAAAAAAACAACTGAAGCATTTTAGGCCACCCATTAAACTAAACTAAATCATTAGCAATGAATCTTTTTCAAAAATGTTTTTGATGAAGCAAAAATTGAAAAGAAGTATAGAACAAACAAAGAGAAACAAACTTTGGGAAGGGACCACATTTTTTGTGAAGACTCTTTCAGGGAGGGAGGACTTGGGTGTAGAGCTCTCTCTCCTCCCAAACTTCAGTGAAGTCTGCCCACACAGAAGAATTCCTTCCACACATGCATTTAATATTTGACTTTTTATTGTGCTAAATATTTTCATGTTTTCTGATTTATAACTTGTTTGCGCCAATACCAATATATTTAAGGTTTTTAAAATTTAATTTAATTTGCCAACATATAGTACATCATTAGTTTCAGATGTAGTTTTCAATAATTCATCATTTGTGTATAACACCCAGTGCTCATCACATCATGTGCCCCCCCACCACCACCCTGCAACCCTTCGTTTGTTTCCCAGAGTCAACTGTCTCTCATCTCACAGTTTATCTTCCTCTCTGATACCGATTTTTAGTAAGTGCTTTCTTAGGGAATAAAGCCCTTTAGTTAAATGCTACTATATTCTGGTTTCTGCCAAATGTGAAAATTTAACAACAGTTTTAGATGGTGGTACCACCTTAACTATTGCAAGGAGGCACTTACTTCTGTTGACTTAATTTCACATTCCCTATCAAAATCAAAGTGCTTGGGGCATAAGTTCAAACTCTGGGGTGGCAAGGAAATCTTCACACAGATGCTTCCCACCTGCTGTTACACTGACAAACATGCACAGGAACCACTATCTTCCCAAGGACTCTTGAGTGGAATCATAGTGTTTTAAGCCAGACAGGCCAACAAAGGTGATCAAGGCCAATCTCCTTCCACCAGAATTTTATCTTTGACATCCTTAACAATGGCTTATCTACTCTCTCTATATGCTTCCAGAAAGATATGGAGCTCCCTAATTTGTTGCACAGCTATTTATGAATGTTTTTCTTTTTGATCTAGAAGCTAGTATAGAGGAAGGATACAGAAACCTATAGAGAAGGAATACTGTTAATAAGTAAGAAGACCCTATGTAGCTCTGGTTTCCAACACATATGGAAGGAGTTAATTAGAAATTAACCACAGTACAGGACAAAGTTGAAAAGACTCCAAAAGGTTGAGCTGTTAGAGGTAGGTCTTTTGAAATAAAAATTCTGAGAAAATAAGAAGCCAAGATTTTAATATTTTGATAAGAATGCTTTGATTTAGGAAGATATTAATTATATCATAAATATGTACAGTTCAGCAAACTTTTCTCTTTTCCTTTAACCTGTCTCTTGTAACAGTATTTAAAATTTTCATTTCCAAGGCCTATCTATTGCTACTATTGATGCAAAGAAGAGTCTTCTGGTTTTCCTGTTTTTTTCTCTTTCCCCTTGTTCAAAATTCATTTCTTCCCAAAACCATTCCATCTAAAAAATATATCCTATGTAAGGAATATGGACTATACATGTGTTTGCATAACAGGAAGCATGAAGAGCCTGAGTGGACTTCAGCAATAGCCCTTTATCACGGGAAGAAAGGACTTCAGTCTACTTCATTTGTACACTGCCAGGACAAAATTGTAAGAGTTAAAGGGGGAAAAGGGACAGTTTATGTACACTGAGTAAAAATTTGAGTGTATACACTATGCTGGACACTCTGCATTCTCACCTTTATTTCATAACCACAGGACAAGAGGCTTTAGTCCCACTTTATTGATGAGTAACTCAAAGAGTTCAAGTTAACTTGCTAGGATCTTGGACCGGGACAGAAACCCATGCCATTTCCATTGTAACCTGCCTTTTCCCCAAAGGCACAAAAGACACAAAGAACCTCAGTGGCATCTGGCAAACAAAAATTTTTCATCTGCAATGCTAAAAAAAGGTAACAACATTTTAACTTTCATAGTTACTGTTACAGTTTTTAATCTAATAGCTGTAAAGTCTAGAAACTTCCTAAAATAAGAGACTCCTACAAATATGGGAAGTGAGGGTGAATGCTTTATGCTAGGTACAGACCCCAAACTACTTTGACAGTAACAAGACATATGCTATGGATACATCTTTGGATTTTTGCATTTTGGCCCAAAAACAATTTTAAGGAAAGACCATGCATCTTACAAAGTGAAGGTTAGTTTCCTACCTTATCAACATTCATTCGCTTAAACGACGCTTGCAGAAGCTTAAAATTGTGAATATACTCATGCTCCAACTTTGCTTGAAATTTTACTTTCTTCAAACTAATGCAGCCTGGAAAGAGCATGTCCATAAACTGGCAATAGGCAGCTCCTGGAAAGAGAGGAGAAAAATGCTGATGTAAATCTGACTGTGGCCAGGTGTTACTGAAGATTGCTGAGCAGGAAGCTCCCCCACCCCCCAGTTGTGTGCTCCTTTCAGTGTGCGCCCACCTCCTGCACTCACTCAGGCCAGGCGCCAGAGGAGAAGAGATCACGCCTCCACACAGCTCTCCCCACTCCTAACCTCTATGGAATTGATGTAGTGTTCAATAAACAGTTGACATCCCACAAACAGTGAACAGAAATACTTTGATAAAGGAAATTGAGGTAAGAGCTTCTATCAGAAAAAAAGAAACTTTTTTTTCTTCCATCTAGATGCTACCTCCTCCAAGTCATCAAAATATATAGATGTAAAAGAAAAACAAAGTTGAAATGCAGGACAACTGCAAAACTTCTCACAAAATGTGTAACTAAAAAACAACAACAACAAAAACAACAACAACAACAAAAAACCCACAGCAAATACAAATATGACCAACCTGTTTTATATCCACCTTGAAAAATAACTTAAGTGAAACTGGATAACTCAACTATCTAATGCCAAAAACAGTTGTATACCAATTTAATTCCAGGCCAGAGCAATGGGGTCCTATATTAACATGAAGGATGAAGACACAGAGACTCTGAAACTTACAGAAGTTGAGAGTCATGCTGTTTATGACTGAGAAATAAAAATAACAGCAATGTTCAACGAGTCCCCTGAGGAAATGGTTCTAGAAAAAAGGATTAGTCTTTCATATATAGTTTTTTATGAAGAATTCTTACATCATGATAGTTTCCACTAGAAAATCCCAGCAAGATCATGTTTACTGATTCATATTTTCTTAATAGTTAAGGCTAGAGTCATTTAGAAAAGAAATTCAAAGCCAGAATGATTATTTTTCTTTTACAAGGAGGAAAAGCCACAGAGCTGCAAGAATGAGAATAAGCTGCATTATGGAAATAAGCTGTATTCTCTTTCCTTCTCCAGATCTCTTAGTCTGTTTCTATAATGTGCCAATGGCAACCTTTCTAGAACATGAAGGACTCCCCTCAACCTCTGGTATCAAGGTTTCTATGAGAAGCTCTTTATTCCATTTGTGAGATTCACCTTTACAGAAGAAGCCAGCATCTCTTAGGTCATAGATATTGAGCATCTTTCCCTGAGATAGGAATCCAAGATCAAACAAGGTACCAGGGACCTAAGGGCTGCCTCAACAGGAAATGGTGAGGCAGCTCACTGTTCGTAGGTAAGACTATAAAGTAATGGAATAGAGACCACAATAAGTATCGCCTCTAGAATCTTTGCATCTGTGAGGTTGTCCCTTAGAGGCCAACAGCCAGCACAAATTAGTATATTCCTACTTAAGCAGATGGGCTCTCTTAAAAACAAAATAAAACAAAAAACACTGGAGGAGGTAAGAGAAACATCATGATCTTGGAGGGCATTCTTATGGTCACAATTCAATTATTCAGGTCTTCCTTTTGAAGTGCCCCCAGATGCAGCAAATTCCAATAGCCATTTGAACATTATTTTTATGAGATGGGGGATGTCTAAACACAATTGTCTCATTACTCACTTTTTGATGAGTTATTCTTACTTTTGTAGCATTTAGCATAAAATGTACTTATAAAGATCCAGATACCTATGTATACTTACAAACCAACCAACCAACTCACTTCCTAAATTTAAAAAGTAGTAACACCTTTTGGAAAGGAAAACAAACCTGAGATAGGGAGGAAAAAAACATTTCTAGGCCACCTAAAGAGAACCACTATTAATGTTCTAGTATATACCATTCTTTTTTTTTTTTTTAATCCAACAGACTGATTCCCTTTTCTAGGTCGTTTAATGGTCTCTACTGACATTTTTAATGGCTGTCTGATTTTTATATCATGCTAAGCAACTTACCCAAACCAAGATTAGATAAATATTCACATATATTTTTTTCAAGTATTTTATGGTCTCAAGTTTCACATTTACATTCTGAATTCATGTAGAATTTATTTTAGTCCATGACATAAAGGATGACTCTAATTTTAGTTACTCCAAATGTTAGTGAGAATCTGTCATTTTTGGCTCCCCAACATTTGGGCATCTTCCTGTCTGGGTTGATGCTACAGTGCCCTGCCTCCCACAACAGTACCAATGGTGGGCAGATATCCTTTTCCCCATACCCAGCAATAAAGATGCAGGCCTGCATCCTGGGCTCTGCCTGGGTCTCAGGGTCTTAACAGTGACAAAAATACACAGGGACTCTTAGAATTTAGTCATGGTGGCACTGGTGCGATCTAGAGTCCTGTGACAGCAACACAGAGGCATCCCAGGCCAGTGCAGAAGGGAGGCTCTATTCCCAGGTCTGGCTTGATTTCCTACTGACTGAGCTACCAAATATTCTTCCTGTAAATTTGTCTCTGCTTAAGCTTGCCAGGATTATTTTTTGCTATTTTCAACAGCAAATGCCAACTGTTAAAGTCAGCTAGGTGTTGAACGTCATCATTTCATGAATAATCTATATTTTTCCCACTTGGGAAAAGCATTATCTTTACTATTTATTGCTTTCCTAATACATGCATTTAGGTCTCTTCCTAGACTTAAATTTATTTTGGTCTGTCCCATTGGTTAAGTTTATACTCTGTTAAACTCTATAATGTATGTTGTTATCTGTAGAATAACTTCCATTCTTTCTCAAAATTGTCTTAAATTTTATATTGCATTTATTCTTTCCTTTCTATTTTGTATTTGTCATTTGTGGCATATAGAAAATAGATTACCTTTTTAAAAATTAGTTATATACTAAACAACAGTTCTGTTGAGATATAAGTCACATATCAAAGTTCAGCCTTTTAAAGTACAGCTGACCCTTGAACAACATGAGGGCTAGGGGCGTTGACCCTTCCACACAGTTGAAAATCTGTGTGTAACTTTTGACTACCAAAAAACTAAACTACTAATATCCTACTGTTGGCTGGAAGCCTTACCAATAACAGTCAACACGTTTTATAGATGTATTCTGTTCAAATACTGTATACTTACAATAATAAAGCTAGAGAAAATCATAAGAGAAACTATATTTATGATATTGTACTGTACTTATCTTTAAAAATCCACATATAAATGGATATGTGCAGTTCAAACCCATGTGTTCAAAGGTCGATTGTATACCATTCTGTGGCACTGAAGATATTCACAGAATCGTGCATCCATCACTACTAATTCCAGAAGGTTTTCTTTATCACCAAAATAAACTCCATACCCATTAGCAGTCACTCCCCCCCCCCACCCCAGCCAATCCTGGTAACCAACCACTAATCTATTTGCTGTCTCTATGGATCTGCCTATTCTGGACATTTCATATTAACGAATCATAAAATATGTGGCCTCTGTGTCTGGTTTAACTTAGCAAAATCTTTTCAAGGTTCATCTATGTTGTGGTATGTATCAGAACTTTACATTCCTTTCTATGGCTTAATAATTTCCAATTTGTGCATATGCCACATTTTATTGATTTACTCATCAGTTGATGAACATTTGGGTTTTCACTTTGGGGCTATGATGAGCAATGCTACAAGATTTTGTGTGGACTTAAAGTTTTCAATTCTCTTGGGATACGGTACACCTCTTCTATGTCTAACATTTGAGGAACTGGCAAGCTGTTTTCTGTTTTGCATTCCCACCAGAAGTGTATGAGGGTTCTAGTTCCACATCTTCACTAATGATAATTGTCTTTTTGATTATAGTCGTCCTAGTAGGTGTAAATTTTGATTTGATTTCCCTAAAGACTAATAATGTTAAACATCTTTTTCATGTTTTTTGGCCATTTATAAATCTTCTTTGGAGAAATGTTTGTGCAAATACTTTGCCCATTTTTAAAGTGGGTTATTTTTCCATTTATTTGTGAAAGTTCTTTCTACATTTTAGGGACAAGTCTCTTATCAGGTATCTAATTTGCAAATACTTCCTCCTGTGAATTGTCTTTTTACTTTCTTGATAGGATCTTTTGAAGCATACATTTTTTTACTTTTTAAAAAAGATTTTATTTATTAAAGAGACAGAGGGAGAGAGGGAGAAAGAGAGAGAGAGAGAGAGAGAGAGAGAGAGAGAGAGAGAGAGAGAGATGCGCAGAGGACAAGGAGAGAGAGAAAGAGAATCCTAGGTGGACTCCTTGTTGAGCAGGGAGCCTGACATAAGGCTCAGTCCTAAGGCCTGGAGATCATGACCCGAGCCAAAATCAAGCACCAGAACTCCTAACTGACTGAGCCACCCACGTGGCCTAACACATATTTTTACCTTGATGAAGGATATTTTTTTTTGTCATTTGGGCTTTTGTCATTTCTAACAAACCATTGCCTAAAATCCAAGATCATGATTTACACCTACATTTTCTCCTAAAAGTTGTAGTTTTAGTTCATACATTTAGGTCAATGATCCATTTTGAATCATTTCTTGTATATATAGGTGCAAGGTTTGGGTCTAACTTCATAATTTTGCGTGTGACTATTCAGTTGTCCTGGCACTACTTGTTGAAAAAACTATACTTTCCATTCAATTGTCTTGGCACTCTTGTTGAAAATCAATTAGCTATCAATGTACAGGTTTCTGGGCTCTCAATTCTATTTATAGATTGATCCTTATGTAGTAATAGTCTTGATTACTATAGCTTTGTAGTCAGTTTTGAAATCAAAAGCAGAAGTTCTCCAACTTTGCTTTTCCTTTTCAAACAGGTATTCTGAATTTCCACATTAGTTTTAGAATCAGCTCATCAATTTCTGTAAAAAGGCAGCTAAGATTTTGATAGGGATTGAATTGAATCTAGATTTGGAAAATACTGCCACCTTAACTAACAATAGTAAGTCTTCCAATCCATGAACATGGGATGTCTTACTTAATTTTTTTCAATGATGTTTTCCAGTTTTCAGTATATAAAGCTTCCACTTCTAAATTTTTTAAAAAAGATTTTATTTATTTATTACTTGACAGAGAAAGAGAGAGAGAACATAAGCAGAGGGACA